TGTAGAATCTGGAAGAGTTACCACATTCGGTGTCTCTACGGTTAGTGTAAAGGTGTCCCTTCTTGCTGTATCTAGAATCGTAATCATAAGATATCTATGTTGACTGCATGGGTCACTACTGGTCAAAGGTCTGACATGAAAGTTGTTTTGTTACCTGTATATTCTGTGTTGCCCTGATTTCGAATATAAGGATTGCAATTCTTTGGATCACATTACTCACATGACTTTGATTTAACTTTTTCCTATTCCTTTGGTGATTCTGAGCAAAGTGACTATGAGAATAACCTCTTAATTTTGAGAAGTCCTCCACCTTTTTATATATAGCACTATTTTGGCAGTAGAGAGACTCATTAGAGATGAATCCATCCAATCATACGCGCCTGTACTCATGTAATGTGTGGCTAAGTTGCGGCAGAATGTTATATATAAATCCACGGTTCATCAAATAAAAGTCGCGCGTAACCCCTCCTGTTAGAGAAAAATATTCCCCGAAGACAAAATTATATATGAAATTAAAGAGGACGGGGTTGAGTCAGAATGGGAAGAGAACAAATTAACGGATATTCCTAAATAGAATCAAGCCTAAGGAAGAATATAGAAAAGAAGAAACAGGCCAAATGTAGAGGAAAATATAAAGATGCCGAGCCTACCCATAAGCCTTGAGCGCCCAGATAGACGAATACAGGAAGAAAAAAGTGCATCTTCAGACCTGAAACTACATTTAGGACAGGTGCGAAGATTGGAATGTGAGCTGAAACTATGTTTTTTTAAGGAATTATTGACAACTGAAATTCGTATTTCACTAAATTTAATCAAAAATCCAAACTATCATACTTTAAATTGAGACTTTTCATCAAAGGCAACTAAGCCTACCCTACAGTAAATGTTGAAAGACGACAAGCTGCGTATAAACCCGCATGTATTGTTTCATTCAGGAAAAGTAGAATTATTATGAAACCATAGAATATAGAATTAGTCATATCCGCGAGAACTACGAAAGTTAAAGATCCTAAGTAAGTTGACAAAACTTATATCTTCGAGCAATTTATTAAAAGAAATACAGGAAAAATTCTGTG